GTACTTCCGGATTTCGGCGGTCTGTAACCCGAAAAAACTCAACCTGAAGCGTCTGTAACCTGAGGTATGACTGTATGTGATTGTTATACAGTGGTAGCTCAGGTTACATACACTTCAGGTTACAGACTCCCGCTAACCCAGAAATAGTGCTTCAGGTTAAGAACTTTGCTTCAGGATGAGAACAGAAATCGTGCTCCGGCGGCGCAGCAGCAGCAGCAGGCCTCATTAGCTAAAGCTTCAGGTTAAGAACAGTTTCAGGTTAAGAATGGACCTCCGGAACAAATTAAGTACGTAACCAGAAGTACCACTGTATCCATTTATGAAATGCAGAGCTCTAAGCTGTAGCCCCAACCACGTCTATTCAGAAGGAAATCCTGCTGTATGCAATGGAGCTGACTCCTAGGTAAGTGAGGTTAGGATCGCAGCCTCTTTCTGTCAGCCAGATTGGTATAACTGAATGAAAACGTTACAACATTTGGTAAACCCCAGCATTTAAGTGACAGAAATAAAACTAGGTAGCGTACATACTTATTAAGTGTCAGTGTCTGAAGAAGTGTGCATGCACACAAAAGCTCATACCAATAACAAACTTAAGAGACTTAGGTCTCTAAGGTGCTACTGGAAGGATTTTTTTTATTTAGTGTCATAACATTTCATTTATTTATCTGTTTAAATAGGAGTTTGCTACTTTCCTACTTCAGAGTCTGCAAAGTGTCTCACAACAATGCTGGCAGAGGCTGATGGGAGTTGTATGTAGTCCAAAACATCTGGAGGACACTAGATTTAAGAAGGCTGCCTTGAAGTTTGGCCAAGAGGTCTTGAAAAAGAAAGAAAAAATCTCTCAAGATTTAAACTTGACATCAGAAAAATTTAAAGTTTCAAATTTTTCAGATTTCAAACTTACTATTTAATCTTAGTTTAAGTTCCTGGAATTACACAGCATAATAAACAACAATGGCTTTTAGCATCAAAACAAGCAGACCAATTATTATCTTGATAATCCTTTTTTACAGGACAAGCCTATCCATGTCCCACTGAGTTCAATGAGGCTTGCTCCCAAATACAGTAATCAAATAAGACTGCAAACTTAGAAGTGTATCAGTATTTTGACTTCTTTTTAAAAATTTGCTATATAGTAGGATTTTTTGTGTGTGAACTTTTATCATCTTTCCCTTGAACTACAATAAAAAGGTCAGTATTCTTTCCCCCATTTTACAGATGTGTAACTGAGGCTCAGATAGATTGTAGTTTGTCCAAGGTCAGCCAACTAGTTTCTGGCAGAGTGAAATATAAACCAGGGGCTACCTGGATCATTTAACTATGCATCATGAGTTGGAAACTTTATTTGCACAACTGACTTGTAAGACTCACCACTCCTTCTGCAGCTGCTGACCCAGAAATCAGTGCCTCTTAACCCAAAGAGCTACTTTAGCATGGATGAAGCTTCCAATACCAAGAAGTACGCTCAGCCCTTACCTTGCACCTTGGCTCCCTGTGACTTACCTTCCAACTCCTCGCCTGAGAGGAACTCGCAGAAGGAAAGGAGGAAGAAGAGAATAATCAGCGCCATGGTGGATATAGCAGGGCTGGCACCCCGCCAGGGGACAGCTTTTCAGTGGCTTCAAAGGGAGAGGTGGAATTTTGGGAATAAGTTTTTTCACCTGCCCCCGTGGGGATGGCAAAGTTGAACTGATCGCCAGAGGGCCTTGCAGCAGCCCAGATCCATTCAAACTGCAGAGAAAATCACCCTCGCTTCTTTTTTTCCAAGATACTGTGCAGCACAGGGGGAGGTTAGGAAGCTTCCACAAATCCCTCCACAAACCCTCCCCGCCTCTCCATGCCACAGATAATCCCACAGCAGCAAGAGCGATTATTTTTTCTCTCTCTTCCGAAAACCTTATACTACAAGTCCTGGAATCTTACACAGGAGCACCAAACATAGATGCTTTCCTAAACCAGTCATTTTCAAGTAGTTAGTGTGGGGAAGTGGGAAAGGACCACAGAGAATGGTGAGACACATTGAATAGAATTTGGGGTATGGAGAACTAGGACTGGGTGGCTTTTGAGCAAACCATGTCCTATCAGCTGCCTTAAACCTACCTTACAGGGCTGTTGCGTGTGAAAATGTCACAAGACACTACAGAGAGAGAGCATTTCAAAGAAAGAAACCTGGGATAACCTCTGGAACAGAAGGCAGCTTCTTTGCAAGACAAGCTCCGTAAAGGGATGGGTAAGGAGATTACAGGAGGGTCTCCTAAGGATATTGGCTGTGTGTGTCTCTCTCTGTGTGTGTAATGCACTGTTTTTAAAAGGGGGAACCTGGGAAGGCATGTAAATACTGCCCCAGTCTGTCATTTCCAGGTGACAATCTTAAGGCGAAAGGAGGGAGAGAGAGTCAACTTTCCAAGTGTGAGTTATATTGCAGGAACCTTGGTCCAGAGTTTCCAGGGACAAAACCTAGAATGCCAAGCCCTGGATTAAGAGCCTGTACTGGGAATGTGCAGCAAACAGAACCAGCTGTTCAAGATATATCCCAGATTAAGGCTGAGGGAGAATAGCAAGCAGATGCAAAAGACAATTTACTAATTCCCTTTACCAGTCTTCAGGTACCCATCATGAGGCTAAAGCAGAGGCACCTTTTTAGTTCAGTGAACCATTTCCCCCCTTGGGAAACCTCCCAGAGGCATCAGTGGGTGGGGTCAGCACCAATGATGGGTGTGGCCCCAGGCAAAAGCAACAGATAAGACTCTTGCCTTTGCGCAGCCAGCTGTGTTTCAACCACACAAGTGTCAGATTCGTGTGCACACATCTGTCATCCTCCATCCAGGCAAGCAATAGGTTCAGTGGCGTAGCGTGGGGGGTGCAGGGGGGGCCGGCCGCACCAGGTGCAACATCTGGGGGGGGGCACGCTCGCACTCGCAGCTCTCTGCCCCTACCTGGCTCACTCACTCTCTCTCACTGCAGTGCTGGCTGTGCGAATCCGATCCGAGCCGCTGGGTCGCCGCCCACTGTGGAGGGGGTGGGTGCCAGGTGTGCGGTGCGGAGAGAGAGCGAGGGACTATCTGGGGGAGGGACAGTGCAGCGGCCGCCCAGCGCAGCGCTGAGCATGGGAGAGAACCACACCAGACCAGACCAGGCAGCAGCAAGAAGAAGCTGGCAGCGGCGGCAGGTTAGAGGTTAGGGGGCGCAAATTACTTGCCTTGCCCCGGGTTAGGGGGCGCAAATTACTTGCCTTGCCCCGGGTTAGGGGGCGCAAATTACTTGCCTTGCCCCGGGTGCTGACAACCCACGCTACGCCGCTGAATAGGTTTCATCACAGGTCAAGGACATATTCCAGTCAGGCAAAAGCACAGAGGGCCAGGTCTGTGGCAGGCATGGCCTGAGCAGAGTCCCCAGGCCTGGAGCACCGTACTTGCACCAAATCAGAGGTTCCCCACCCCTGGGTAGAGGATCTCTGGAGTCATCATATAGGTATCTCGGGGGTAGTGGAAAATCACCTGCCAGCACTTTGGGACCCCTTTTACAAGGCAGGAGCCTGCCTCTCCCCCCTCAGACTGCAAAGCATAGATACAAGGAATTTGTCTTTGACCTCATGCTGGGTCAGAGGACAAGTCTTGCTGCTGCCAGTCCAATGCCAGAAACAAGCTGCCATTTCTCACACAATCACTCTGTGTGGAGGCGTCTGGTAGCTACTACAAAAATGGTTGGCTGCTGAACCCAGCCAATATTTGTGGCCCCTGACCAGGTGACATTATGACAGGTGTTGGCAGAGAAAATAAATCCAGATGAGGCAGGAAGTGAACCCAGCTGCATACCCCACTTTTAGAGAAGCCATCCCTACTGAAGCAGAAACTTCTTCCTGGCTGCAATACGGCCACTTGTTTTAAACTGTTTTTAATGTTGTATTTTAAATTGATGTGGCCTGCCCCTGGGACCTTATGGTGAAGAGTAGGAAAAAATATGTATTAATGGGCGGTATCCAACAAACTTGTTACGCCAGCACAAGGATTTATATTTGCACAGTCAAACCGTCCTCCCCCTGTACAGTCCCTAGATCTGTTCTGGGGTTTTCCCCAACCCTCCAGAGCAGATGTTGGGAGGGCATTGGAAGACAAGAGCAGGGGGAAGTTCCATTACATGAGCCGGAATGCTTGCATTAACAGAATGATCATACAGCGCTACATTTTAATAATGAATCACGATGCCAAGCATGACCACAAAACCCATCTCCAAGTCTTCATGCAGCTCCATGCCGTTCATCAGTTGTGGCAGCCACCCCACCCTGGCCACCCACTCAAGGATTTGGGCTCTTGAAGCGCCACCTGTCTCAAATTTGACCCAATCACGTGCACCTCCAGGACAGATTACAGCAAACATCATGTCTACCACAAGACCTGGTAGTGTTGTTGTTCTTTAATTATTATTTTTTTGTAATACAAACCTTGCAAGCCAGGAGCAGGAACCCCAATGTGGGGGAAGGACCTCAGGGCAAGAATTAGCACCCTGTTTTGTTCTGCTCTAACTCTCTGTGCTGTGGGAGCCACTGCAACACACTGCTTCCTGCACTGCTCAGGTAACATGAAAACCTGAAGCTTTCTACGTTACCCAAGTGACTCCCATGCTACAAAGATAATGCAAGCGGAGGTCATGCCAATGACAAAAAAGGCAGTAAGCAACTAACTGTGGAGTGGCAGCTGGGAATAACAGGTTCTCACAATCTCAAACTCCAGAGCAAACAGGTAACAGTGCTGGAACTCTCTTGGAACAGTCAAATGCAGAACAGTCTGGAAGGGATGGAGACTGCATCAGGTATTACTGTCTATGCTGGGCAAATGGGATAACAGAAAGCATCTCAAAAGGCAGGGGTACCAACAGGTGAGAGGCAAGAGGCATACGAAAGAACTACAGAGTCCGAATGTGGGGCTCACAGTAAGGAACAAGGCTGGCCAGGATGCAGCCAAAGGAAAAGTAAACACTTCTGGCGGGGGCACTGGTCACCGTCAAGGCAAGGAGCATGAGTTGGCGTCTTGGAAAACCCACTGCTTTGACTCAGCCCTGATATTTTGCATTCCCAGGATGGTCTCCACAGCACAGGGTACACCAGAGGCAGCAGCCGTCCTCGCCTTCCTAAGTAACTGACAGATGAACCAGCCCCTGCCCACTGTCCTGACCATCTCAGAAGCTGGCTTCCTTCTTCCTTTTGCCAGACCACCCACCAGATCCCCATGGCAGGAGAAAAGAGGAAGCATCTGTGGGGTCTGGAGCCTATGGAGTACTGCTTGAAGGGTGGGGAGAAACAAACAGTCCCCTTCTCCCTGTAGCACCATCTGGTTCTCATGATGTGCATTAGAGGAGCACAGGGAGCCAAAGCAGGGCATTCATGACTCCAGGCCACCTACTGGGATTGGTGGAAAGCACCTGATAATCCATCCAGGAGCCTCACACAATCTGGATGCCCAGTTCCTCGGCTGTCTTCTGAAGCCTGTCCATGACGTTCTCCTCCAGGTCCGTGGCAAACCCACTAGGCGCAGCTGCCCGGCTCTGAGAGGGTGCATTGGCCATGACGTAGTATACAGTCTCGCTCTCCCCACGCTCGTTGGTCCTGTTCACAACGCGAATGATGGGGCTGGATGGCGCACTTGGTTCTTGGTCTGGAGACGCATCAGCCTCTGGCTGAGCAGGCCCCTGGGGGGGCGTGGCAGCTTGCAAGTCCACGTCAGCATCTTCCTCCATTGGCGGTTCCAGTATGATGCCCTGCAGGCTGCCCTCAGCCCCCGCCAGCACCACACACTGGGCTGTGTCATCCAGGACCTCACCCTGCTTCTCCCGGTCCTTCAGCAGCTGCTCTGTCAGTTCCACGCTTTCATAACGCACCAGCTGCAGCCTCATGTAGCCATCCTCGTGTTCCTTATACCTGGGGGAGGAGTGTTGTGGGTTGGTGGGGAGGAGGAATAAGCGAGGTGTAAGCCATTATGGAACTCTGCATTCTAAGCTGTTTGTGCACAGTATCTACTAGGGCTGAAATCACAACCAGACCAGGTGGAGATGGCTGATATAAGAGACGGCCAGTTTCTAAAGATCCAAGGGACACGCTGGAAAGGTGTCATGCCACCTATGGGGCAAATTCACATGATAATTCTTTATACGGAAATCTCACCTCAAGGTGAGACAATGCTTTAAGGGCATAATAATCCCAGAGAAAAATATTCCATCCCACCTGGCTATTAAAGTAACGGGAAATGAGTCAAAGTTCTGTAAAAGGCAGAATACGAATGTTTTTGCAGTGCAAAGGCTAATTGGTGAGTTTTGCAATGGCAACTGCCCCACCTAGTGGTTCTTGCAAAGAGCACAAGAACTGGTGATTTTATAGAGACGGCTTCAGCCTGTTTTTGCAGATCACAAGCCACTGTACTGTGGCAACCACAGCCATTTTCGTTTGTGGCCTTGGCTCCAACTGGATGGCAACATGCGTAGCCTTAGGGATGTGAATGGAGGAGGAGCAATCCTGCTCTCCAATTAGTCTCCTTGCTTGTTCTGTGCAGTCTGAAGGAAAAGGCCAGCAAGACCATGTAGGTTGGGGGAGGGAGAGAGGTTGGAAGCAAAAGAAAGGTATAAACACCCACACCCAGCTTTGTTTGCCTTTTGGGGGGGAGCACATGATTTAAGAGGGGACTGGCTAGAGCTCCTTGAAGGCTGGCAGCTCTGATTAACTTTCCCCCAGAATGCCATTGGGTACAAGATGGTGGCCAACAGCCCACTGCAGTAGCAAGTTGATTTCCCCCCTCAAAATCTTGCAAACCCCGCCCCCCAAATCACTCAGGCTCTCATTGCCTGCAAATGAGGGCCACAAAAAAGAGGAGGGAAGGATGAAATCCCATCCCTAGGCCTACGTACCTGAAGCGAGGATGACCCGAAGGCCACTTGAATTGGTGTTTTTTCCTGAGGTGCACAGTAAGGTTGTTCCCACGAGTGAAGCACTTGTCACAGACGTGGCACTTGTAGCGGGGCTCCGAGTCACCCTGAGCGGGTGCGGAAAAAGAGAAAACAAAGGTTTTTGGTTTGCTGGAAACTTCCTATACACCATCTGCATTGAGCGTGCTTTCTGGTCAGCACAGCAGTGGCGAGGCACAAATATCTTCTACCAGCGCATCATTCAAGAGCACACGGTTTAAGTCCTGGATGAGAAATTCAGCATGCTGCAAACCTCAGCTTTCATTGTTGTTTTAAAAAGCAAGTTTCTAGACTAGGGTAGACAGTGTGGTGCCCTCCAGATGTTGTTGGGCTATTACTCCCATCATTCCTGACCACTGGCCATGTTGGATGGGAATGATGAGAGCTGTAGTTCAACAACATCCTGCAGGCTTCACACTGGCTACTAACCCTCTACCCAAAAAGTCAGGCTGGTAAAGTCTTTAAATAAGGGACTGAGCTGAATTTCCTGTACTGAAGGGGGAGAATTTCCAGTTATTCTTCACCCCACCCCATGGCTGCAGTATTTTCAGGGAGATAATAACACAAAATTAGCTGGTGCAAATATTATTATTATTTATTAAATTTGTATACTGCCCTATATATGCAGGTCTCAGGGTGCTTCACAGGATAAAATCAGAATATAAAACCTCAAAATAAAAACAAAAACAGCCCATAGGATGTCAATCGACCAAAGGCTTAGTTAAAGAGGAATGTTTTGCCTGGCGCCTAGAGGTGTATAATGAAGGTGCCATATATCCATATGCCCTTTTGCTGGAAAACTGAATTTCACTTTAGCTCTAGCCATTGGCATTGTCAAATCTCCACCATATCCTTCATGAACGCTGCAAAGATTTTTATTGTCCCCTGGGCCTCGATGCTCTTTTGAAAATTGAAGAGTAAACAGCCCCAGGCTCTGTGACTCCATCTCACCTCATGAACCTTCTTGTAGTGCAGCTTGATGGAGCAGAGGGACCGGGCGCTAAAGTTGCAGGACTCAAACTCGCAGCGGTAGGCCGGCTCTTTGCTGTGTGTATCCAAGTGCTTCCGTAGATCAATGAGATTCTTACAGCTGGAAGGAATAGGCAAAAGGAAGGATCTCAACCTCTGGCACACTAGGACCGCACCTGATAGTCTGCAGAGGCTCCAAGCCAGAAGGTGCACATGTTGTACCTGCGCTGCTAGCGAAAACAGCTCTACTATTTCCAAGTGCAGGAGAGTTCCCAGGAAGAACGGCTTGGTTTTGCAAGAGTGAAAAATGTCAATCAGTGACTCAACAAAAGCATGCACCAAGGCTGAATTTTCCTGCCACTTTTGGACCCAAGTACTAGAGAGACTTCCTTCCACCAAACAACCCCCTGCTCCACATTCTATGATTATCCTCAGAAGCCACCCTCTGTTCACCCTGCTACCTGCAGATTGTGACCAGGAAGAGGGTCTTCTCAGTTGTAGTATCCCATTTATGGAATGCCCTCCCCAGGGAAGCTCATCCAGTGTCAGTTCTGATGTCAATCAAGCATCAAACAAGGACGCTTCTATTTACCCAGGCACTCCAACATTTAACATGTGCTAGTTTTCAGAAGGCTTTTCCTGCTGAGCATTTTTTGTTTTGACTGCTGCTGACCTGCCAGCTTTATGTTTGTAGTGACAGACATATATTTGTTTTTACCCCTTTAATGCATGCAGCCCTGAGAGTTTTATACTGAAGGGTGGCATAGAAATTTTAAAAATGAAAATAAATAAATACATTTCCCCCAGAGGACGGGACAATAGCGGCCTGACAGATCAATCCTTGAATCCACAGATATTTGAATATCATTTGAATTAAGTATGGTGGCTTCTTTTATTAAAGTTAACAACCCCTATGTTGGGAAGGTGGGTAGATTAGGAATTTTAGGCCACAATAGCAATAATACAATTCAGGGCCAAACAATGGGACACAGTTGTCTGTATGTTTCCAGCCCACTTACACAACAGCTCTTTTTTGTCACAACTCAAGCCTCTGTAATTCCCAAAATCTTAAAACAGTGAAAAAGAGCCAGTCGCTTTTGAAAAAGTGAACAGAAAGCACATGGATTTCCCTACCACTGAGAAGAAACCTTCATGTCACTTGCAAAAAATGCTGCTTCCTTCCTTAATGTTCAGGGCTCTCATCCAGCCTCCCTCTCTACCTTGCTCTGCGATTCTGTGCCCACCCTCCCCCTGCTTCCCTCTCCCTCTCCCTGGACGATCCTCAGTTTACCTGTGGTCACAATAATTGCACTTGAAGGGCCGCTCCTCGCTGTGCCGGAAGCGGATGTGGTTGCGCAGGGAGGAGGGCAGAGGGCAGGTCATGTCACACAGAGGGCACTTGTAGTGGTTGACTGCCGAAGAGGAAGAAGAGGAGAGGTTAGCACAGGGAGGGGAGGAGGGATGGAGGAGGGAAGAGAAGGAGAAGCTCCTGCCACCACCTACCATGATTCCTCATATGATCACGCAACAACCTCTCTGTGGCGAACCTCTTGGAGCAGTGGGAGCACTGGAATCGCTGCTCTGTAAAGAGGAGGGAGCAGGTGAAGATGAATCAGATACAGAACAGAGAGGGGCAAGACTCAAGTGCAGAGTGTTTCTCTCTCTTGGCACCTGCTGGCAGCAACCAGCCCCCTCTAACTGCAAAACCCATAGAGGGTATCCTGCCCCAGCCCCTCGGAACATTCTCCCATGTGCAGTTCATGAAGTGGAAACAGTAGCAAGCTTCAAATGCTTCTTGAAGACCCATCTATCTATGCAGTCTCTCTGTCTCGCAAGATTCATCACACTGCTTTGTTTTACTGATGCAGACTTCCTTTTCGCTGGAATTTGTTTTAACTTTGCTTATAAATGCTGTGATATGGATTTTTTAAAAAAGAAATGATCTCCTTGTGCTTTACGTAAACCACTTAGGAATCTCACACAGTAAGAAGAATAGTTCTTATCAAGACGGTGGAACCTAGGAATTGACAAGTTATCAAAAATGGTATATGAATATTGTAAATAAACCATCCAAGTCAGGCATCATGGAACTGCCCTGTCTGTGGGCATGTCTAACAATTTCTGTTGCTTCTGGAAAACATCTCAGGATTTCCAGCATCAGCTTAATTGTTTCTTTAAAAGGACTGTTTTTAGTTGTTGTTTTTTTTAAATGATATTTATTGAGAAATTTTTTAAAATTACACACACAAAAAAGAAACAAGACAAAAAAAGAAAAAGAAAAGTAAAACCATCATTCTCCAATTCTCCACTTTCAATACCTTCTTTCCTTGACCTCCTCCTCCTCCTCCCTTTTCCTGTATCCTGATTTATAATAGTCACAGCAAATCCTTTCCATAATTCATAATATTCTGTCCTTACATTACCTTAATCTATTTTCATCTTATCTTATATATAAAAAAAGTTTAAAACTTAAATCTTAATTTTTACCAGCTTCTCCTAACCATAACATTCTTACCTAATTCTTTAAACATTTTTAGACCTCATTGTGATGCCTGTCAGAGGACGTTTTCACAAGGGGCACAACTAATGCACTTTCATTCCCAGTATGGTTTTACATAACGTGTAAATGTAGCTGACCTGATATGTGGAGTGATGAAAAGTCTTTTCTCCCCCCCCCCCCCAAATGATTCCATATATGAGACTATTTAAACTCATATATTGTGGACAATCTTTTTTTCTGGTTCTGGTGACTAGAAGAAGCTTTAAAGTTCCTTAAAATACCACCACCAAGTGTCACTTTTGCCAGAAAGAAACTGTGTCTAGGCCCTCTGCCTGCTTGGTTGCTCAGATACTCACGTTCTAAAGCTGTCTGCCGGCGGATGTGGTCAAAGAACTTGGTGTTGTTGGAGAACATCCCGCCGCAGGTGGGACATGCCACCACCTTCTCCTGTGTGTGGCTGCGCAGGTGTTCACGCAACTTACACCGGCCTTTGAAGGCGCAGTCACAATCTAGACCCGGGAGGAAAAATGATTAGAATCGTATTTGTTCTGAGCAGGTCCAAGGATGCTAGTTAAGTACGATCCATTATGAAATCATCCAGAGGTGCCCTCTGGGTTGTCTCCTGTGTTATAGAGGCCTGACTGACCTCATCTAGAAGCTGGGCATTTAGTGTTGCCCACCCCATGCTGAGGAACAGTCTTCCAGCAGAGATTCCACAGGCATCCCCCCCCCCCCCCGTTTGACTTTCTGGTGTCTCTTGAGAACTTATTTATGCCAAGAGCTTAATGATTATGTGTATTGTTTTTCAATGGTGTGTTTTATTACTGCACGCTGCCCTGAGATTTTACCATATTGCAGTATAAACAAATAAATAACAAACACACTCAACAGAACTGTGAAAAAAGATTTTCTAAATCCCACAGTATTTTAGATATTTTGTTCTGGCTCAAAGCAACAGGAAAACCTGGAGTTGCCAAGATGCTCTGAATGCCACTGTGCAGATCCACTTCACCTCAAACCCCAAAGACTCTCATGCAAGGCGAACTCCTACCTTTCCAGCCACAGAAGAACATGTGGTTCTCCTTCCCAATTGCCTTGTACTCTGTGCAGAAACTGTGATCTTCCACATGCCTGTAGAACCACTCAGGGTTATCAAACCCTCTCTGATGAGAAGACAGGGAAAGGAAGATAATTTCCTAATGAGCTGCAAGTCGGGCAGCGGAGAAATAGTCACATCTTGTAAGCCAGCCAGAGAATACGTGGCAGGCCAGCTTATCAAAATTAAAAACCAATAGGATTTATATACATGTCAATCTCAATTTCAATCCCCAGATGTTTTTGGCCTATAACTCCCATGATCCCTAGATAGCAGGACCAGTGGTCAGGGATGATGGGAATTGTAGTCTCAAAACATCTGAAGGGACGAGTTTGAGGAAGCCTGTTCTAGATGTGTTTACTCAGTAGTGAGAAGAATTTGTACAAATTGATAGTTTTGTTTTAGAAAAAGAAAAGTGAAGTTTAGTTACAGTTCATTAACAAACTCCATTGCCTTCCTCATTGAATGTGGCTGTTCTCCAGCTTCATACACTGAACAGTCCACCCCCACCACCCTGATGCTTCCCCTGGAAATACTTCAACACCCATCCTGTCTCTCACCTCACAGTACTCCCAGAGGCAGAGGAAGTTCTCTTGGATCTCGGGGATAATGTTGCGACTCTGGAAGTCCAACTGACAGGGGGTTAGGTCCGACTGGCTCTGTAAGGCATGTAGTCCCCACTGCTTTAGCTTGGTGTGGTAACAATGGAAGTAAACATGGCGGGCCAGCTCTGTAGGGCTCTCGGGAGAACAGAATCCACACTCTTGCCAGAGGCAGGAGTATTTTTCTAAAATGCAAGAATACAGCAATTCATACTTGCAGGTAGATGAGGGCCTAGTATGCATGGAAAGAGAAGATCGTTCAAAGGCAGTTCTGCTCCATAAGTATGGGAATGACAAGCTTTTTTCATAAAGCAAACAACAAAGAGTCCTGCTCACAATGTATCTGGTCTGTGGCAAGTGCTAGTTTTAGAGTCTTCCCTTCTCTTTTGGGAAATACCACCCTAACTTATGTGTAGGGCTGCTAACACTACTTCATTTTTTTTTAAAAATGTGAAAGTCTATGTTTCCCAGATTTCATCAAGCTGTGTTCCCTACTTTCTAAGCTTGTTGGGATGCCCACATTTTCACTAATCACATTGAAACTATACTGTGTGTTATCTGCTTGGTTCTTGCACTCCTGATCTGCCGCTCCATGCTACTTAAATTCTACACACAGAGAACTGAGGGCACAGCAGAGAAGGGTTTGCAAATTCACTTCATACAACCCTAGTGTGATCTTGACCACACTTTTGCATATCCCAAGCATTAAGTCTTTACAGCTGTGGTTTTCCCACTACTAGTGTCCACCACCAACCCTGGATACTGCTCTTCAGTTTATCAAACCATTGACGATCCCACCCCCATTCAATAAAATCAAGCAAGTCAATGCAATTGTTATGGCAGGGCTGGGGAAAGAGATCTATCTTGTGGGGAACCACAGAAGTAGCAGTTTTCAGAGAGTAACACCATAACTTACACTAAAGACTAATTCAGGGTCAGTCTCATTTTATACTGCACCCCTTACCGAGAGAATCCACTTCATCATCCACATCTTTGTCATTGAGATGCTGCTGCAAGTGCTTTGACACATGTTCACAGAACTCCTCCATCTTTGAGGCCACAAAGCTGCAAATGTCCCACTCACACTGCAGGACCAAGGCTTGCTTGTGGCTCACCTTCCCAGGAGGCATGTTAAGAGCACTAGAGAAAGACAAAGAAGAGATTCTCTAGAGAAATACAATCTCTCTTAGATTCTTAGATAGAGACTGGCAGCCTTCCTCTCATTCTCTACCACAATACAAATTACCTCAACAAAAGCATATATACACAGTACATGTGTGCGTGTATCAGACAGATAGGAGTATCATCTTCTCCCATGTGCCTCCCTTAGCCTAACATTATTTAGTGGAATTTTACTGGAAGGCTTTTGACTTTTTGTTTTTAGAAAAGTATCCAGCTTCCACAATGAGAAGAACCTTGGCTCTCTTATATTTCCTCGCCTGCAAAACACACACAAACACACACTGCATTACACTAAAATTATATTTGAACTTCTAAATGTGAACTTATTGCAATCCGATGCACAGTTACCTGGGAGTAAGTTCCACTGAACTCAACAGTACTCACTTTCACATAGATATGCATATGATTACACTGCAAAGAAGGGGTTCGTCTAAAATGGGATAGTAAGCAAGAAAGCAATGAATTATTTTCTAATTTAACCTACTGTTTTGTAGGTTAGCTTCACATAAAAAAATAAATCAGCCTGTAGAAATAAAAGTGATAAAATAATACAGAAATCTCTACATTGCGCTTTTCAAGTACTTCAGATACATTACAGTACCTTGGTCACCCTTGGAACCACCCTTTAAAAGTGGTAGATTTTGTTATCTGACCCACTCTGCCAATGGGCAAGGATGGCTTAGGTGTGGGGAACCTTTGGCCCTCCAGATGTTGCTGAACTACAATTCCCATCTGCACAAGCAAGGAATAATGGGAGTTCAACAACATCTGGAAGGCAAAGGTTCCCCACACCTGCAGGAAAGCAGATTGCCTGAGGCTAGCTTGAAAAATTGGACCACAAACCTTTCAGCTTTCCCAGTCATTTTACTTACTATTTTTAGACCACACATAAAGCCCTGACGGTCCTAAGTCTTTCGTTTAGAGTTCCTGGCAGGGAAGCTGCTGCTGCTGCAGCCTCTCCCAAAGCGGAAGGACAGCTGCTGGGGCGACAGATAAGAGATATATTTTGTTTTTCAGCTAGAGAAGTGGAAGTTGGTTATGTTTCATGGCGCTGCCCCTTACCTTCCTCAGATCAAGCTGTCCCCAAAGAAGGCCAAGGCAATCCCTCGATATAATGAATCTTATCTCCCCTCCTTCAATTCGGAAGCCACCCCCCACGAACGTCCCATTCTCCCCCCTCTCAGGCTACTCCACCCTGCCCAATTTTCTAGGGCTCTGAGCAAGACCAAGCAGGACCAGGCAAGGGGCTTCCCAGTCCCTCCCCACCCAGGAGCCCAACTGCCGAAGAAGCAAAAGCTCAGGGAACGAAAAGACCTTCGGGCCTTGAACCCAGGGCTTAGAGGCAGGCACTAGGCCCCGTTTCCATAGTTACCGTCAGTTTTCCGCCCTTCCAACTTCCAGCTCGCGGTCGCCTTCCCCTCCCACCCCCGCCACCTGTGCGCCGACGAACGGCCCGGATGAACCCTCTCGGCCAATGAGACCGCCAGGAGCATCTGAGGCAGCCAATGGCGTCGCATGAAGGGCGGGCCCCAGCCGGGCTGTCAAAACATAAAGTGGGTATCGGGCTGTGGAGTCCGGCTGGGAACAAGCGGCTCCAATGTTTTGGTTCCGGGTTGTTTTGAAAGCCTCGTGGGTTTTTAAAAGGGTACATTTGTATGGAGAAAAACATAAACAAATCAAAGGATAGAAAAAGACGCTGTGTGCGCGTGTGTAGAAACTAGTACTTACAGACTTAGACGCTGTCTCCAGTTATTATGGATTGGAACTAAGACTCCACCCTTCAGCTTGTTCTTGTGGGTGCTTTTATTTTTCTATGTAGTTGTGTGTTAGCCTGCTCATCAATAAACAGCCTCTTGTTTGGGGCTTCCAAAATTATTAAACTTGCCTTGTATTAAATAAGCACTGTACTATAAACGCCCAGGACCATGTCATGCCCCACCCACAATGTAAACTTCTGGTGAAACACTCCCTTGGAGCCTCTCCCAGGGAATCTTGGGAATTGTAGGGAGCCATCATAAAAGTTAGCAAGGTCTGGCAGACTGCCACTCTAATTTGAGCCCTGCATATGAATACAGTTAGCTTCTTAGCAAGACAATGCGCTGAATTCGGTGATCGCTAAGGTCCCTTTCTACAATTCTGTATTCCATGGTTTCCACCAGCTGTACCAGACATTATACTGCTCCTGTTCAAAAGGAATAGAGTGTGCCTATGGCAATCTATGCCAGCATGGTGATCTCCCCATATTTTGGTTGGGCTGCCATTTGCTGAACAATGTTGGTGGTTTTCTTAAAAAACAAACTCAACAACTGTTATGTACTGAGTTGAATAGGATCCAAAATGCAGCAGTCTGATTGGTCCTAGCACAATAGGATTCAGAATGCAGCAGTCTGATTGGTCCATAGGAGCCACCCAATCCAGCTCCAGGTGGAAGTGAATTCGCAACCTGATTGGCCTACAGGAGAATCCCGAAATTAGCCAATCATGTGGGGCCCATTGTGTAAATAATGTATATAAAGCAGACATTCTGGGGGAACTTCCATTCCTCTTCACCACTATGAGCTGAATAAAGAGCATGAAATCCACTCTCGACTCCGAGTATATTTCAACAACTTTCGGGGTGTCCTGGTTTTTACTTTTTCAAATATAGCAACCCTAATTTTGGGCTGATGGAAGTTGTAGCCCAAAACATCTGGAGATCACCAGGTTGGTGAAGACTAGCTTTTGGAACGGGGTGGCCCTGGCTAAAAAATATGGTATAACCTTCTATTTGGTTCCTCCGGTGGGGTGTGGGGTGCCCTTTTATGGTTTGCCTCAGGGGCAAAAATGTATTGTGCCGTCCCTGTGTGAAACATTATATGGTACATCACTTTGAATGTTGTGTATACGGTAGTTTTGGTCATTGCATTTTAAAGAGAGTATTGGTAGGGCTGTAAAGGTGCAGAAATGTGCATGCAAAATGGAGTCATTTCCCTTTGGGGAACAGTAAACAATGTTTGGTCCTTTTTAGTTTAGAAAAATGTCAAGTAAGTGGGGGAGATGATTCAGGTTTATAAAACAATGCATGATGAGCAGAAAATGGACAGAGACATTTTTCTTCTCTCATAATGTTAGTACCCAATGGGGTCACCCAATCAAGCTGAATGGTGGGAGACTCAGGACAGTGCCAAAGTGGGGCAACAGATGCCAGGGACATCAACAGAAGGTGAATGTTGTAAGATTCAGGATGGACAGAAGGGAGTCTTTGTTCACACAGCAGCACATAGTTAAACTATGGAATTTGCTTCTGCAAGTTGCAGCGATGGCCACAAACTTGGATGGCTTTACAGAAGCTGAGACAATTTTGTGTAGGATAAGGCAGTCCCTGGCAACTAGCCACAATGGCTATGTTTTGCCTCCACTGTTGGAGTCAGCATGCCTCTGAACACCAGTTGCTGGGAATTCCAAGAGGCATCTTGTTGGCCATGGTGGAAAACTGGATGGGTAGGTTTTTGTCTGATCCACCCAGGCTTAATCCAGGGATTAAGAGCAGTCAAGAGTTAGGCAACCGATCTAAGAACAGGAGGTGGGAACAATAATTAACCAACTGGGTATGGAGATATGCAGCCAAATAGACCTATCCCATACTCAGCCATTACTTTATATTTATTTATATTTATACTTGGCCAGGATGATCAAGGGCAAATCAGTACTGAATGGTGGCAGCAAGCAGTGGAGGAAGATGGAACAAAGGTTATGTACACACCATTATATTTAAAGCACATCTCTTCCCCTAAAGAATCCTGGGAGTTTTCCCCTCATGGAGCTACAATTTCAAGCACCTTAAACTACAGTTCTCAATATTTTTGGGGGGAAACTCATGTGTTTTATACATGCATCGTGTGCACGCAGCCAAAAACACCTGCAGGCTCATAGAGGGGCATCTTCGTGACAATGGCATCCCAGTCCTCTGAATGGCAGGGTCTAGCTTTTGAGAAGCACCATCTCTCACACTTCCTGGATTCAGAGAAAATAAATTGGGTATTATTCAACAAGAAAGGTTAAGTCTCATGTTCATATTCATCACATCCAAAATTACTAAACTCTGATCTTGCAAAGCTTATCTTGGGTTACTGATTGCTAAGAATTCTGGTTTGATCAAGCAGCTAAGCTTTGTGAAGCTTCCGATGCTCACTGCTCATGCAGCTGGTTATCATGAGCTTTAGGGATTTCAGATACAGCAGAATCCACATTGCTTTTCCACTGAAATTTGACAAAGTGTTAACAAAACAAAAAGCTATTTCCTGCAACATGATATGCCATGTGTTGTGCTGCATTCGATCAGAACATGAAAAAGACGCTGGACTTGTGTAAACAACTTGCTCTTTACACCACCATCCCATAATATAATCCAGCTCCTGACAGCTGCAGTTCGCTACCAAAGCAGAGTAAACATGAACCATTTGACTATTCATCAAGTAGATGGTTTCAGCTGAAAGATAATGTTATTGAGCACAAATTGGCAAATACCCCCCTTTACTTATAGATCTGAAATTCTGCATAGGTGAATTTGAATTCTGAGATGCTGTCAAATTTTGAAGTGTACATTTCATTTCAGCTCTCTTTTTTAGAGAAAGTGAATAAGGCAAAGAGCAAGAGTCTTTCCCCACTTTCCTATGCAAAATTTATTAAGATTTAAATATATATATAACAATAAATTATACTAGAAATGAAAGTGAAGAAACCTAACTAAAATTAGAAAAAAATTAAAAGTTTTGAAAAACTCCCTTTGGAAGAGGCTTCTAAAAATTGAATGATGTTGTTAACTGTTAAAGGTAAGGACTCAGGTAACTGGGCATCTATGCTATAGTGTACTTAGCAGAATGGTTCAACCAACCCTTACAGGGGGGTCTCTTGACTAGCCAATCCTCTGTGGAACATTTAGTTCAAAAAGGGTCTCTGTAAGCAATTGAGTTACAAATGCTGAATAGCAATTCTAAGAATAATCTAAGCAAACAGTTTTGAACAGGTCCCATCATCTTTAAGCATTCAAGCACTTGAGGAATTTTATGTTAAAACACTCTACTGCAAAAGCATTAAATTTTTTATCAGTAAAAGAACACCTCATTTATTTTATTTTTATTTTGCCCTCCCCTGCTTCTTTCTTCTGAAGTATCCTTTTGGTCCAGTGAAAGAGCCTTTTCATGGTGTTCCTCGCCGGCCATGCAAATTGCATCTAAACAGACATCAAAGGATTTGCATGTACGCAAATCCCAGGCAAGCCATTTCAGAGGCATTGCCCCAAATTGTGGAGGAGGCCATTTCCGTCTGGCTCAGAATCAAGCTTGACCAGGAACAGCCCTTTGCAGTGGCTTCATTTGCAGATCGGAGCTCATGAAGGTTGATCATCCCGCCGTAAAGTCCTGTCGAATACAGAGGTGGAAGTGATCACTCTTCGCCATGGAAACGGGTAGGTGTCATCGACGGCACACTCTCTTGATGAAAGTCGTGTGATGATTGTTACACAAAAGATCAATTATTGACAATTGAAAACATACATATTTATGTACTTATTCCTATAGACACAAGACAGAAAATGGGGCCCCAGACTGGGGTGATGCCTTTGAAGGATAGGTCCATGGTGAAGTTAAGAGCCTGATCATTTCATTCTTAATAGGGTAGCCTCAGGCAAGAAACTAGCCCTCAGGCTTAGTCCTATAAGAGCAGTATGGTAATGATGTCACTCTTTCGAACAGGGTTGTTATAGGGATTACTAAGATAATGGTACATTTTGGACAAATGTACTGTGGCTTAATAAGCTGAGATGTCCACTTTTGCCTATGCATGTAGCCCTTTTTCTTCTGCCTCTGCAGCCTGAACCAAACGTGGACATCTTCAATTAAACATAGTTTCCTCTTTTGTCCAAACTAGGAAACTGTGATTACTAACTTCAAGATTTTAAACCATGGTTTGAGATCCTGTCTTGTCCTAACCATAGTTTCTTTATCTGGACAAAATGAGAAACTGTGGTTAGCTATAAATTTCTGCAGTTCATTCAGGTACAACACAAAGAGAGGAGAGGAGAGGCCATGTATGTAAGCAAAAGGTTCTTGTCTGCACATTTCAGCCTATTAATCCAATGTGTGATTGTTGAAATGCAGCCAATGTATTGTGTGAAACATTTGAAAATGTGTTATGTAAATTCTACCTAGTATTTATTTATTTAGCAAAATTTATATGCTGCTTGATTGTAACAAAAATTCTTCTAAGTGATTTAGAAGAATAAAACATTATCATTATCAAGAAAAGGCAATCACTGAGCATTTGGCAGACTGGAACCCACTAACTACGCACACAGGTTTGTGACAAAATCTGACACATTAATCTTCTGTTTCAGGGGGAGGAGATGGAACTGGGGGAAACTTAATATTTTGTTCATATTTTGTTGAAAATCAATAAAAATCTTTTATAAGAGAAAATTAAAAGACAATCAAAACGAGGTATTAAAAATTTCCAAAAGATAATTAAAATCAACACCAATATAAAGATAGATTAAAGCATATGTGATATTTTCTACATGTCTCTGGATAGGTTGCCTAAACAAAAATGTTTTAAGCAGGTGCCAAAAAGAAGAAAGCGAAGGTGCCTGATTTCAATAGGCAGGGAGTTTCAGAGTGTAGCTGTTGCCACACTAAAAGATCAATTTCTTACAAGTGTGAAACAAATATTATTTGGCACCAGTAACAGTCCCAGTTCAGTGGATCAAATTGGCTGAGTGGGCATATATGGAGTAAGGCAATCCTGCAAGTAAGTGGTCGTCTTCTTGATAGCTCAATTGGTTAGGGCATGGTGCTGTTAACACCAAGGTCACAGGTTTGATCCCCATATGGGACAATGGGACAGCTGAATATTCTTGCTTTGAACTAGATGATCCCCAGGGTCCCTTCCAATTCTACAGTTCTGTGATTCTGGTCTTTTGTGCCAACTAGGAGTGGGTGGTGGCAATTACCTGACCTCCTATTACCAACATTGCCATGGCTTATCAGGAGGGGAAGGGATGAGGTTGCAGTGGTGCTAATGCACCTACAGAGGCACTGGATTGACTCTGCTGCGTGTTTGCACTGTGCCAATTTCAGTAAGCTCAGCTCCGCCACTGACTGCTACTGGTACCGACCTTGTACATATTACAAGAATCTTATTAGATTACTCTGGGCTCTCACTGGGCACTCAATACAACAACAAGGTGCTTCCGGGTGAGTGTTTATTGTGAGATTGGCACTCCTTGTGCACACAAGTTTTTTGCAATGATGTAATTGGCATCAAAACACCAGTCTATTAAAAATAAATAAAATCCTTATGTAATCCTGATTTACTCTTTCTGGGAGATATCCAAGAATTCAAAAAAACTCTATTGCCAAAAACCTGATTGAAACATATCAGTGACTCATTTACAAATCAAACCTTCATCTGGAAGCATCCTTTGACTCCAGTTATTAGCTTACGGTGGCAGCAGCGCTGACCAAGTCTGCAGAGGTTCAGGGCATTTGATGTCTACAAATATATGCTTGCCTTTTCTAGGTATTGGTGCCAGAAGCTACCTGTGCTATAAAAGAAAAAGTAACATTTATTCCCAGTTTTAAAATATAGCCAGGGCTTTTTCTTCAGCTAGAGCTGAGCTCCGGCCCCTCTCAGATAGGCACCATTGCCACTCTAAGAGAACAAGGGAGAAATTCATGGTGAGCTCCAGCACCTCTTTTTCTAGAAAAATAGCACTGAATATAACATATAGTAGGGAAAAAAGCAGAGCAATTCAAACATACCTTTTTCAAATCCATAAGCCTGCCTTTGCCAACTTGGGGTCTTGAGATATTTTGGACTACGACTCCCATCAGCCCCAGGCAGCATGGTCATTCTAGCTAGGGCTGATGGGAATTGTAGTCCAAGATGGCTGGAGGGTACCATGTTGGGGAAGGCTGCTTTAGCTTAAAGAACAAACCATGTAAATCTCTGAATAGTATTGGTGGTAGTAGGGTAGATGAACCTTGTGCCTAAGGCTGTGTGCAGTGCACAGACTGCTATTATTATTATTATTATTATTATTATTATTATTATTCCCCTTTCAACATATATAAACACATAATGGAACATTAAACATTAAAAAAACCTCTCAATTCAGGGCTGCCTTCAGACATCTTCTAAAGGTTGTGTAGTTACTTATCTCCTTGGCTCAGGGGTCACAGTACTACATAGCCTCCCAACATTTCTCTGGTGAAAATAGGGATGTCATAAGTAAAAGCGGGACATTCCAGGACCAAATCAGAAACCAGGACAGCTTCTGTAAATCCGGGACTGTCCCTGGAAAAGAGGGACACTTGAAAGGTCTGACAGCCTAAGCGGGAAATTGGAGAAAGCTAGAAACAAGATGGTCAGCTACTTTTTTTCTTGTAGATGATCTCGGGGCTCGTCCAGACCTCCGCCTAATGTGAGCTTTGAACCCCTGGTACCTCCTTTAATTTACCCTCATCTGTGCGATGTTCTCCTCTAAATACTTCTGTCCCACACTTTGTCCTGCTTAAAGCTGTAGACTCCCTATATGCAATCCACATAGCTCTCCTGTTTGGATTTTCAAAGTATGGGGAGACTCTGGATTTAAGGAGGAGAAAGAGCAGGGCAAAAGTAGTTGGAGGAGACTGCCACATGGATGATGAAGAGGAATTAAACGAGACCCAAGGGGTTCACAATCCACATTCAGCCAAGGTATTTTATAGGCCCCCATTCTTGGGGGGTGGGGTGGGGTGGAGGAGCTTCTGTTGAAGCTCCATCCCTTCCTAGCAAAACTAATCTGGCTGCCGCAATCCAGGTGAAACAAAAGCTCCAAATGCAAACCCACAAAAGGTCCGAATTTTGGAACAGCAAACCAGCACTGGAAAAGATCAAACAATTCCCCCGCAGGGCATGAATGTTTGTTTTAGCTCAGGAAATGCTCATCTTTGTTGTTTTCTAAAGGATTAAGCAGAGCACCACGCTCCCACCTGTAACATTTGACTAAAAGCTCTCCCCAGCCTGATGCAGGCTTCCATCACAGGTGCAGGTTCTTTCCATGGGCAGATCCCAATGGGGCAAATGGAAGAAAAGAGCTCCTGCCTCATTATCCTGGGCTGGCTGGCACAGGGATGGGCACTCTCAAAAAGGTCAAAAACATACAAACAAATAGCCGGTTTAAAGGCATGACTCAAGAGACATAATGAAGTGAACAATGGGCATTTTTGCGAGTGCGAAACGAAATCCTTTGTTGCAAAGGGCTGGCACACGGTTCTCTGCACAAGGGGCAGTTGTTTGTAGGAAGAGGCTGCACCACTTAGCCAAGCTGAATGTTTTATTCATAGCACTAGAAATCACGGACATCCAATGAAGCCAAATGTTAGAGGATTTAGAACAGACAAAAGAAAACCCTTCTTCACACAGTGGAACTCACTCCCACAAGAGGGTACCGACAGCCACCAGACTGGAGGGCTTTATTTATTTTAATTTTTTCCCATTTTTTTTATTAGTTTTCCAAATTTATAACAAACAAAAAACATCAAAAACAAACATACAAACATTTATCCTAGCTATAACAGTTCCACTTTTGTTAACATTGTTGGGTGACTTCCTCGAATCCCCCTGGCTGAGTTTCCATATAAATCCTTGTAGCAGTTTTCCAAAACTATTTTCACATAAAATTTACTTAGTCAATTAACATCTTTCTTTCTTTTCATTTCAGCTTTTAACATAGTATTCTACACCATCACATATTTAAATCCTAGGCCTATCTGGTACTCGCAAGTAATTCTATTTAAGTTATCTTAAAATATTTAGCCAAGTAATCTTTGAATTTCTTCCATTCCTCTTGGTACTCCTCCTCCTTCTGGTCGCGGACTCTTCCGGTCAGGTCGGCTAACTGGAGGGCTTTAAAAGAGTGTTAGACGAATTCAGTGGCTACTAGACACAATTACCAGAGGTGGCTGGAAACTGCAGGAGGGGTGTATGCTCTTGTGCTCAGGGATGCTTAAGGGTTTCCCATGGGCATCTGGTTGGCCACTGTGAGAACACGATGCTGAACTAAAAGAGCTCTGGCCTGCTCCAGTGGGCTCTTTTGTTATTATTACTATTGTTGTTGTTTAGTCGTTTAGTCGTGTCCGACTCTTCGTGACCCCATGGACCAGAGCACGCCAGGCACTCCTGTCTTCCATTGCCTCCCACAGTTTGGTCAAACTCATGCTGGTAGCTTCAACAACACTGTCCAACCATCTCGTCTTCTGTCGTCCCCTTCTCCTTGTGCCCTCCATCTTTCCCAGCATCAGGGTCTTTTCCAGGGAGTCTTCTCTTCTCATGAGATGGCCAAAGTATTGGAGCCTCAGCTTCACGATCTGTCCTTCCAGTGAGCACTCAGGGCTGATTTCCTTCAGAATAGATAGGTTTGATCTTCTTGCAGTCCATGGGACTCTCAACAGTCTCCTCCAGCACCATAATTCAAAAGCATCAATTCTTTGGCCTTCAGCCTTCTTTATGGTCCAGCTCTCACTTCCATACATCACTACTGGGAAAACCATTATTACTATTAGTATTTTTATTAAATTTGTATACTGCCCTATAACCGTCAGTCTCAGGGTGGTTCACAACACAATTGTTACAGTATACAAAGCACAAAATACATAAGAAAAATAATCAAAACACAAAATACATAAGAAAAATAATCAAAACAAAAAGGCAGGCTCTTATCATGTTCATATTAGTTTCTGACTCCCATAGTTTTAACAATAGCTACAAGAAAAGGCACCCCATCTAAATTAGATTGCTGAAGCAAATAAAGTTTGTGGGGAAACTAGAACTGAATTTGTGTGTGAAAGGACCATGAGATGAGTTCTGGTCCTGAAAGCAAATTGCTGGGCTAAGTATGTGCACAGAGTATGGATGGGGGAGAAATCCAATATTGTTTGCATTTTAAAGAGACCCTACTAATTTAATCTCAGATCAATACATGAACCGAAACACAGCTATCCTCTGAAATTTGCAGTTGTCCAACCATTGTGTGCAAAAATGCATATAGGAAGGGAACAGTATGCATAAAAATATGTGCATTTGTGAAAACAATGTATCGAAGTACATTATATTAGGGGAAATAGTTGTAAAATGTGTATATTAGCTAAAACCGCACACAGGATGTTTATCGGAGAAAATTCACACTAAAATGCTGACAAATTTTCAGGAGGACTTTAAAAAAACAAAAATGCAAATTGCTGCAGAAATGTAAAGAACCAAATTTAAGAATGCAAAAAAGAGAAACCAAAACTAATGGACTCCTCCATCCCTACATGTGCTTTCTTTGGGGAAAAGGCTGTGCTGGCTGCAGTTTTTGGGAGCTATAGTGCAAAACATCTGTAGGGCATCAGTTTGTTGGAGGCTGCATTGATCTCTGCCCTTCAGTCCACCAAAATCCATCAGGCTTCACCCCCTATGTTACCAAAACCACCCAGGCTTTGTCCCTACCCATTGATCAGGGAGTGGCGTCAATAGCATTGCCTTGTTTTATCCTCACAACGACCCTGCAAAGTAGACTGGACTACCTAGTGAATAACCTGGCTGAGTGGAGAACGTATGGGCCTCCTCACTGATTAAGCATTGGGCACAGAATGAAGTCCCTTTTGGGTGTCCCCCTCCCTGCTCATGCTTCTTTCTTTGGTTCAGTCCCTGCAGACTACGGCAAGCGGGTTTACCAAGGAGTCCGGGTCAAGCACACGGTGAAGGACCTGCTGGCTGAAAAGCGTTCAAGGCAGACCAGCAGCTCGCGGCTGAACGTAAGTGCATGTTGAAGAGTGCAGTGTGATCTGGAGCAAGGATGCTGAACTGTAGGCTTGAGAACTCTATCCAGCCCTCAGGACTCTCCCCAGGCTTCTAGGCCATGCCCCACACTGGCCCTGTGCCCTTCTTGAGTGCATTTGCTTGGATGAAGGATGGGGAGATGGAGGTGTGCATGTCTTGCATGGTTGCAGAAACCTCTGGCTTGCGTGTGGCTGGAATGTAACCAGCCATTGCACAGAGGTAAAAGTCACATCCATTGTTGTGACTCTGGCCTCACCCATGTCAAGGCTTTTCCCAGACAAAGGAATGCATGCACACAGCAGACAGTTAAGTATTATTGTCAAATATAACACTTCTGCAGCTCTGCAGACCTACGTACACCAATCTAACAGCTAGGCAGCTATTTCCAGGTCCATGCTCCATGGAGCGGTCGCATCAACAGGAGACCACTCCCCCTTAACCAGTTTATGTATCTTCCCCTGATAGGCTGCACAGATGCAAGCAGAGACTGTGCCTGCGTGGAAACTTCCTCTGCTCATTCCTTTTCATTCCCCTGCTGGTTCTGGGAGACAGAGATGCAGGAGAGGGTGGGGAAGCTCCTGGCTTTTCATTTGCCTGACCTGCCTCTTCCTCCGACCCATCCCGTGCTCCACCCTCCAGCTCTGAAGCTTTCCTTGTCTCTGATTCTTGCCTACTGGCTAGTACAGGTCCCCACAAACCATTGCCTCCCTCTTTTGAGTCTAGGCTCCAGCTAGCCCTGCACTTGGTGTGCACTCATCAGCGTCTTGCTGGTCCCTGATATCTTTGGAAGTATGAAAGAGGTACATACTGAAAGCAGATCTCAAAAAGCGCACTAATGCCAAAAGCTGGGTAATGATCAGTGCTGGTCTGCCTGCAAACCAGCAAAGCCGCAGAACAAAGCTGAAACCTCTTTGGCCCTTTAGAATTGCCCTTTGCAGACTCTGGACCACAAGTGTTCCCCAGATGTTCTCCAAATGCTCAGAGATTCCCCAAATATCTGAAATCTGTATTTGATGTTCAATGGTATTTGATTTCAGCATTTGACAGTTGAAGTACGGCAGCATTTGACAGCTGACATGTGGTGGTGTTTCATACCTTACATTGATGGATGTCTCATACTTGATGTTGATGTTTCATACTTGATCCTGATGGCACAAATAGCATTTAGTCAACTGGCATCATGCAATGGCATATGGAATACGACAGTATTTAGTATATGACCACCTCTTAGGTGGTTTCATATTTGAGGGCTGACAAAACAACGATGAGTTGCCAGCAAAGCCACATGTCTTTCAAGTCTTGGGTAAAAATTCACCTTCGAAAATGTGAAGAGGATTTAAAGATAGAGATACAGATCCAAAATCTGAATGACAAAATCAAGCTTAGAAGTTAGAACTACCCTGCAAGGTAGGTCTCCACATTTTGCAGATGTGGAGCTGAGGTTAGGAATGTCAGAGAATTTGGAAGGAAATGGGAGTATACCTGTATACATTGTTCAGCCTGGCCACTGAGGTCCAGCTCCGAGGGCCTTCTGGCAGTTCCCTCACTGTGAGAAGTGAGGTTACATGGAAACCAGGCAGAGGGCCTTTTCGGTAGTAGTGGCTGCCCTCTGAAATGCCCTCTCATCATAAACAACCCTCTGACTTTTAGAAGACATCTGAAGGCAGCCCTGTATAGGGAAGTTTTTAACGTATGATGTTTTACTGTGTTTGATTTTTTAATTTGCTGGAAGCTGCCCAGAGTGGCTGGGGCAACCCAGTCAGATGGGCAGCATATAAATAATAAATTGTTATTATTATTATTATTATTATTATTATTATTATTATTATTAGAGGAAATTGTCAAAGTTTGCTTATTTGGCGCATGTCTGGAGCAGAAATAAATCCATAATGTTATGAGTATTACTGTTGCTGTTGATTTCAGTTTGATAAAATACGGTACGTAATTGATTACATACCCCATTTGCATTATGCTTCCTTTGCACAGGAATGAAGGGGGTGGAATAATGTTAATGGAAACATAATCTATGCAGTTAATCATCTCAGTTATGTATATTCGCTACAGGGGGCAGTGAGGTGAATAGGGTGGTTCTTGGTGGCAGGTGAACCGTGGCTGAAGGGAAACAGTGCTGCATATGATGGATACAGGGCAAGACAGAAAACAATGCCTTCTTGCATCCCTAGCTGAGGCTGAGAGAATAACAGCTCGCCTAAGGATGCTGAGTGGGTGGCTGTAGGGCATCAGCAAACAGTGAACCAAAGACCTCTTGGTTCACAGCCAGATTTGCCTCTCAGAGTCAATACACTCCAGCAGCTATCAATGGGTCCATTCAACCCAATCCAAAAGCTACAGTGTGGGAACAAACTTCCTTGTTTGCACAGAGCCCAGGCGGCACTCTGGTCAGTCTTGCAACTGTGTTGTCACAGTTGTCGCAAAACAGATACTATAACCCTGAAAGCAAACAGCAGGTGAGTGGGGGTGATTCGGCCAGCTGATGAGGAAGGAGCTTGCCTTTCCTTGGAACTGATATCTAGTGCACCCAAAACTCTGATTTGCCAAAGCAAAACAAAAAACAAAAACAAAACTTTTCATGGGCAGATGATTCTAGACCTGTCTGTGGAGAAAGAGGGTGGAGTTCATCAGATGGCCTCTTGTCTAAATGAACCATCAACACTGTTGGGATTTTGAAGGCCTGGCTCTTACCTGACAATCACGAGAGGCACAATTTGCATGGTGATGATATATGCCCTGTTTGCATTTTTTATTTCCCAGGAGGGTAGACTTGGGCTTCATGTGTGCCGTGGATCAACAGGGGTTAGCCAGGGGCAGTGGCATAGCGTGTGTTGCCAGCACCCGGGGCAAGGCAAGTATCCTTGGCTCCACTCGCTAATAGGTTGTAACGGACGGGCAATGGCTCGGCGACCTACCTGAGTGGCAGGCACAGCACCCCACGAGTGTTGAGTACGGCAGAGAGCGGGATGGGAGATAGGTTGGGAGCGGGTATCATTCTAAAGCACCATAGCAACCAGCCTTTTCCCAGATCCTCTCCTCTGTCAGCCGGGAGATTTTCTGTGTGATGGGGAGGGCACACTATTTTTAAAATTTTTCATTACTTCTTTCTTCTGAAATTTTGTGCTCCTAATAATTTTGTGCCCAGGGCAACTGCCCCTGTGGCCTCACCCATGATATGCCAGTGGACAGGGGATTCATTTAGGAAAAGCAGTCCCTTACAAAATGCCACTCACATTTCAGGCCACACATTCTCCTCCTCCTCCTCCATATCTGGCCCGTTCTGCACATCTCTGGCTCTGTGCATCTTTTTCATTTGGAAATGGGACTTGATAGTATAAAACTATCAACTAAAAAGGGTTTCCCCACTGTAAACCCTTCAGGACAAGCACCTGTTGCCCCTTCATAGTTTTTTTTTTTTTTATAAGATCTTTATTAAGATTTTTTGAAATATTGCAGTAAAAATGAAAAAGAAAAGAGAAAAATACAAAATAAAAACAGTTTAAAACACACATATTTTCTATTACTTATTTTCCTTTAGCTTATTTCCCGGACCTCCTCATACCTCCCTTTTTTGTATTTCATTTCAATTTATTGGTTCAGCAAATCCTTACCATTAGATTTTAACCCATTTATAACCCTTTTTTCATATTCTCTTAGAGCATTACAGCTGGAAACCGCTTAATTACTATCCAACATCATTCTATCATTCATTAATTTTGCAAAAATTTCTGTAGATAGTCTTTAAATTTCTTCCAATCTTATTCCACCGACTCTTCTCCCTGGTCTCGGATTCTGCCAGCCCCTTCATAGTTTGTAAAGCAGCAGCAATGACAATATCCTATCGTCTCCTTCCAGCTGTAAACTCAGCGGGTGAGTGCCAACTGCCGTATAGTTAGGGATGGGTGAACCTGTCAAATTCAGTTTCTTATTTTTCCAAATTTAAGTTCAGTTTTCCATATCTCCGCGTTATTTTGAGAATCTTTTTTACAAGGTCTTTATGAAAATTCATCAGCATTTCAGTGCAAAAATTCTCCTAATACGCACACAAACACACCCCTCTTTGTATGTAATTTTGCCGAATACAGTGGTACCTCAGGTTAAGTACTTAATTCATTCCGGAGGTCCGTTCTTAACCTGAAATGGTTCTTAATCTGAAGCACCACTTTAGCTAATGGGGTCTCCCGCTGCTGCTGGGCAATTTCTGTTCTCATCCTGAAGCAAAGTTCTTAACCCGAGGTACTATTTCTGGGTTAGCAAAGTCTGTAACCTGAAGCATCTGTAACCTGAAGTGTATGTAACCTGAGGTACCACTGTACACACATTTTTGCAAAGCGATGTCCCCAAATATAAAGCATTTTTGTATGTTATCTGCACCAGCATATGTATTTTTTGGCACCCCCCTCCCCAATAGAGACATTACTAGGCTGGAGAACAGCATTGTGACATTTGGAGAATTGTGAATTCTCAAGGATGGCTGCGTTTCCATTCACCTACTGATTTAGGAAGTGCCAATTTGGAGAATTTGCCTCAAAATGCAAACTTGATTGAATTTCCCATCTTTCTCTACTTGTAGCCAAAACAGGGGAAAGCAAGAGGAATGTACCAGCATGTTCAGGAGAACCCAGAAATTTGCATTTCTAAAAATAAAAGAAGGGGAAACCTAAATTAAACAAATAAACAAGCCCCAAAAGCAGAGGGCATGGCCAGTGGCCACGGAATGCTGTCTGTCTGTTTGGGGAATGAAGGAGAAAAATGGGAGATGGAATGAAGTTTCCTGAAAGGGGGTATGGTTTCCCAGCTGGAATCCTGAACAGCAGCATTCAAGTCAGCAACATTCTGTTGCAGACCTCTACCTATTGATTATTTTATAATTTTACATTCTTATGATGTTTTAAGATTTTAACTGTACATTGCCATGATATTTTTCTTATGAGAAGGGCTTTTTTTCCAGCCAGAACTCACCGGAACTGAGTTCTGTCACTTCTTTGGTGCATTCCGGCACCTTTGTAGCATTGGGAGCCAGTGTGGTGTAGTGGTTAAGAGGGATAGACTCGTAATCTGGGGAACCGGGTTCGCTTCCCTGCTCCTCCACATGCAGCTGCTGGGTGACCTTGGGCTAGTCACACTTCTCTGAAGTCTCTCAGCCTCACTCACCTCACAGAATGTTTATTGAGGGGGAGGAAGGGAAAGGAGAATGTTAGCCGCTTTGAGACTCCTTCGGGTAGTGATAAAGCAGGATATCAAATCCAAACTCCTCTTCTTGCGGAGGCAGGAGAAGAAAAGCTTTTTTTAAAAAAGGTTCTCTCTCTAAAAGCTCAACCACTTGGGTTGGCCGTTACCCTGTTCCACCTCTTTTTCTAGGAAAAAAGCCCTGCTTATAAGTTACCGTTTTGTAAATATTCTTATAAATTAAACAACACTTATTGTGCAGCCATTTTTATTGTGCAGCAACGTCCAGCCACTTTTGATTGATGGGGTCTGTGTGGAGAGGGTAACAACGTTCAGATTTTTGGGCATTGAATTACAAGAGGATCTGTCCTGGAGTGTCAACACAAGGGGGCTTGTGAAGAAGGCGCAGCAGAGACTGTACTTTTTGAGAATACTAAAGAAAAACCAGCTTCCGCAGAAACTGCTGCTTGCCTTCTATCACTGTGCCATTGAGAGCGTGCTCACTTATGGCTTATGTGTGTGGTACGGAAGCTGTACTACCCAGGACAGGATGGGGTTGTGCAGGGTTGTTAAGGCAGCAGAGAGCATTGTTGGCTGCCCACTCTCCACCTTAGAGCAGATTTATGCCACAAGGTGCCATAGGAAGGCACTGGACATAGTAAAAGATCCATCGCATCCTGGTCACTGTCTCTTCGAGCTCTTGCCGTCGGGACGGAGATACAGGACGATGAAGACAAGAACGAGCTGTCTTAAGAACAGCTTCTTCTCCAGAGCGATCTCGGCCCTGAATGGGAAGCCCGGACTTTGAAAGTCATCTAATCTCCCTTGCTGTATTATACTGTATTGATTAATTAGAGTTTTTATGGAGCAGTCAAGTAATTTCGTTGTCCCCGAAGGGGGCAATGACAATAAAGATATTATTATTATTATTATTATTATTATTATTAGTGCTAGAATATCCCAGACATCACTAAATGCAAACCAGCAAGAATAATAACTATTTCTAGAATTTGCAAATGCTCCTTTTTAAATACTCAGGGCAATTCCAGACTCTCAATATTTTCAAATGGGGTTCAATCACACACCAGCAAATTGAGGTTGTGCGGTTATACCTTATAGGGAGGTTTTGTGCAACAAACCCACTTCCCCAAAAGATCAGACTTATTCTGCAAAAAGGTGACACAACAAGGCACTGGAAAGTGTGGGAGAACATTTGCCTTGATGCAACTGCATATGATCTTTAAGAATTCTTGGAGAACAGGTGGGGTCCCTGCAGACTGCAGGTGGGCAAATGTTGTCCACATCTTCAAAAGGGGGGGGGGAGACCCAGGTAACTACCAACTGGTGAGCTTGGCATTGATACTGGGAAAGGTCCTAGAACAGATCATTCAACGGTCGGTCTGTGAGCACTTAGAAAAGGATGCTGCGATTACTAAGATGCAGAATGGGTTTCTCAAAAACAAGTAATGCCAGACGAATTTCATTTTTTAAAAATGGAGTTACAGGCTTGGTGGATCAGAGGAATACTGTGAATGTAGTGTACAGTGGTACCTCAGATTAAGAACTTAATTTGTTCTGGAGGTCCGTTCTTAACCTGAAACTGTTCTTAACCTGAAGCACCACTTTAGCTGATGGGGCCTCCCACTGCCGCCATCGCACGATTTCTGTTCTCATCCTGAAGCAAAGTTCTTAACCCGAGGTACTATTTCTGGGTTAGCGGAGTCTGTAACCTGAAGCATCTGTAACCCGAGGTACCACTGTATCTTGGTATCAAAGCATCTTGATTTTAGTAAGGCTTTTGACAAAGGCCCCCTTGGTATTCTTGCAGAGAAGCTGGTAAAATCTGGACTGGATGAGATAACTGTTAGGTGGATTTGTAGCTGGTTGAATGACTGGACCCACCCAGTGGCTCCACACTGCCAGTGATTTTGAGGAGTCATTGGCTCCAGACATCCCTGCCCCAGTACTGAAGGTCCCTACCTTAGGGAGCTTGTATTGCTGGAGAGCTCCTGCCAGCCAGAGCCAATAATACTCAGCTTGGTGGACCAGTGTTTTGAGTCAGTGGAAGGCAGCTTGGTAGGTAACCTAACAAACCCCCCAGAGCGATGATGTGAATTGGTTTTTCCAAAACAATCCCTGGGAAGGTGTCAGTTTCGAGTTGCTGATGGAATATTGCATCGCTTCCCCCCTGCCCTGCGGTTTGTAACTACGGCAAGATCCAATCAGCTCATTTCCATGGAAGAGCACATGGCCAGGTGGGAAGCTGAGCGTTGTTAACCCGAAGGAAGTCTTGACACTGGCAAATTTTAATTCAAATCCAAACCTCTAAATTTGGTTGCTTGCCATGTCAGGAACTTCCTATTTGCACTATGCAAACTGGAAGGCGGTTCAAGGCCAATGGGAGCACTTCCTACTCACTGCAGTAGTCTTGTTTTTAGTGGAGGATGGAGGTTTGGGCGAGAATGAAGTGGCCCAGTTTGTATTGAGAGAAGGGAGCTCTCTCACACATCAGCCTTTACAAACCTAGTAGTGCCTTCCAGATGTTTTTGGACTGCAACTCCCACCAGCTGCAGCTGCTTGGGGTACCAGGTTGGCACAGTTTGTCCTGCATCGCTGCCTTGTCACTAAGCTTATGCTAGCACTTCAAGCTTGCTTCACTGGCCCCAGAATTTCACTGGGATTCCCAAGGTATTACCCAGTCAAACCTGGTAAACGTGAGAGGGAAATGATTAAGATTTCAACACCTTGCTCTTTTTCCTTTCAGGGAAGTCTTGCCACAACACAGTCGTCATTTGTCCCACTGGCAGGTGAGTATATTCCTTCCTCCAAAAAGCCCATGGGGACATAGATGGGTTGTGCTGGTTTGTCTTTCTTGAAACAACTCAGTGAGCATGAGATGCCATAGACACGTGTGTGTGTGTGTGTGTGTGTGTGTGTGAGAGAGAGAGAGAGAGAGAGAGAGAGAGAGAGAGAGAGAGAGAGAGAGAGAGACTGAGTGACTGACTGAGAGATAGTTAAATATCTCCCAAAAAAATCTCCTGGTCACGATTAGTGGGAGAGAAATAATTTTCAAGGCAATGCTAAGGAAGGGAAAGAGAAGGGTTAAAGTGATAGAGTTGATTTCTAAAGAAGCAAGATGGACTGTAGAGAAATCTGTGGCTTGTGCAATTTAGGAACTGACTATAGGGTATTCAACTAAGTTTTACTCAGAGTAAAAAGGTAAAGGTAAAGGTACCCCTGACCATTAGGTCCAGTCATGGACGACTCTGGGGTTGCGCGCTCATCTCGCTCTATAGGCCGAGGGAGCTGGCGTACCGCTTCCGGGTCATGTGGCCAGCATGACTAAGCTGCTTCTGGCAAACCAGAGCAGTGCATGGAAATGCCGTTTACCTTCTTGCCGGAGCAGTACCTATTTATCTACTTGCACTTTGACGTGCTTTCGAACTGCTAGGAAGGCAGGAGCTGGGACTGAACAACGCGGGGATTCGAACCGCCGACCTTCCGATCGGCAAGCCCTAGGCTCAGTGGTTTAGACCACAGCGCCACCCGCATCCCTTTTACTCAGAGTAGATCTATTTAAATTAATGGACCAAACTTAGTCATGCTCATTAATGGCAACTCTGAGTAAAACATAGCTGAATGCTGCCCAGAGCAATACAGGCAAGAATTGGCCACAACAGCTGTGCAATAGGCCATTGGCTAGTGGATAATTGTATGGCTATTCAACTGAGTTTAGGGGGTCTAAAGCAAACTGGAAATTCTGAACTATGGGCAGGGTGGGAAACCATTAAATCTGAAAGCATTAGATGGGGGATGTTTTGAGCAGACGCCCTGTGAAAAACAAGTGAACAAAGTGTGGCTAATTCATAATAAATCTGCAGTGTGGAAGCAGCCAGAGCGTTTCTTCATTCACAACTACTGTTTTTACCTCTATGCAAATGCAATCAATTGTTCATCTCAACCTTAATACAATTAATCAGCTGTGATTACTTTAATGGGTTGGCAGCTCAAACATTAGTGTGTGTATTGATATGCTGTGTCTATCCCCACGTCAACTCACTCCCTGTTGGCTTCTGGTGCTATGGTAACTGATTTCTCCACTGCCAATAGGTTCTTCTGCTATGTCTGGTTACTATGGCATCCGAAGATCCCTAATGGCAGATGTGGATTTACAAAACAATAAGCAGATCTCAAGTGACATCTACACTTCCTCCCTCATAGCAAAGCCATTTGCGTATGAATCACCGGCAGTTCAGGGATATCCTTCGCTTCTAGACACCCATTTCATTGACCAATATGCTGACCACCGAACTGCATCTGTCACCTCTGGAGCCTCGTCCCTCTTTAGTGCCTCGTCGCCACTGACGTCGGTCATGCCATCCTTCCCAAGTGACTCGGCACATTTTTTAAGTGTAAGTACATAAGATAGAACACACTAGGCCCATTAAGCTGGATCAAGCCCAAAGGCCCATCTAGTCCAGCCTCCTGTTCTCACAGTGGCCAACCTGGAGCCAGCGTGGTGTAGTGGTTAAGAGCGGTAGACCCGTAATCTGGTGAACCAGGTTCGCTTCCCCGCTCCTCCACATGCAGCTGCTGGGTGACCTTGGGCCAGTCACACTTCTCTGAAGTCTCTCAGCCCCACTCACCTCACAGAGTGTTTGTTGTGGGGGAGGAAGGGAAAGGAGAATGTTAGCCGCTTTGAGACTCCCTAGGGTAGTGATAAAGCGGGATATCAAATCCAAACTCTTCTTCTTCATCATCTGGGGAACCCCCAAGCAGGACTTGAGTGCAGCAGTTTGCTCCCCACTTGAGATTCCCAGCAATTGGTCTCCAGAGGCATACTGCCTTGGACAGTGCAGGTAGAAAAGAACCATCATGGCTAGTAGCCATTGTCCTACCTAGCAGATTCTTCTATCCAAGAGCTTAAGAAGAACCTTGGTGGATCAGGCCAAAAGCCAATCAATCAAACAATCAATAAAATTTATACCCTGCCCATGTGGCTGAGACTCCCCAGCCATTCTGGGCGGCTCCCAACAGAATATTAAAAACACGATAAAACATCAAACATTAAAAACTTCCCTAAACAGGGCTGCCTTCAGATGTCTTCAAAAAGTCAGGTAGTTGTTTATTTCCTTGACATCTGATGGTAGGGCACCAATACTGAGAAAGCCCTCTGCCTGGTTCCCTGTAACCTTACTTCTCGCAGTGAGGGAACTGCCAGAAGGCCCTCGGAGCTGGACCTCAGTGTCCGGGCTGAACGATGGGGATGGAGACGCTCCTTCAGGTATACTGGACTGAGGTTGTGTAGGGCTTTAAAGGTCGCACCAACACATTGAATTTTGTGCTTGGAAACATACTGGGGGCCAATGTAGGTCTTTCAGGACTGGTGTTATATGGTCTTGGCAGCCACTCCCAGTCACCAGTCTAGTTGCCGCATTCTGGATTAGTTGTAGTTTCTGGGTCACCTTCAAAGGTAGCCCCACGTAGAGCGCATTGCAGTAGTCTATCTAGTCACCATTCTGTTCTCACAGGGGCCAACCATATTCCCATTATGGGAAGCCCTCGTGCAGGACCCTGATGTGTCCCTGCAACAGTTAACTCTCTCATGTATGCACACACAAATAAATAAATGGAGACTATCTAGGGAAGGCCTTATCATGCCTCCCTGCCCAAGCTGCTACCTGTAACTCTGTAGAGAGGTTTGCTTCTTGACCCCCTTTCTAAGCTGTGGGCCGTTTTCTTCCTTGCAGAGAGACTCCTGGGAACAGGCCATGCCTGACAGCCTTGGCCAATCGGATGTGTGTCCTCCCGACTCCCTTCAAGCACCTTCCATCACTGCTGGCTGCCTCTCCTCTCATGAGCCGGGAGTTTCCTCCCAGTACAGAAATCCCAGCTGGAATTCGCCCATCTCTGGGACTCAGTCCTACTCTTTCCATGCTCTGGACGACGTCCACTACGCAGCCGGCTACTCTGCTGCGTCTCCCTACCCATTCTCATCTTTTATGTCCAGTGTGGCCAGTGACCTGACTCCCAAGATGCTCCAGACCTCTTCAGAGGAGTCTTCAGACACAGCCCCTCTCCCCGACAACAGCTCCCTCTGGCCAAAGGAAGATGGGAGCCCCCTTTGGGGGTCGTACGAATGTCGAAGGACTTACTAAACCAAAGAGACTCACGACAGAGAGGCAAACATAAGCCCCTCTGGTTTTATTTAAAGAACTGCTTAAAGGGTTCTGACCATCTTGAGAGAGCCTTTGTGGTGTAGTGGTTGGAGTGTTGGCCTATGAACTGAGAGGTTCAAATCCCCACTCAGCCATGAAGCTTGTGGGGTGACCTTTGGCTCGTCACAATCTCTCAGCCCAACCTACCTCACAGGGTTGTTGTGAGGATAAACTGGAAGAGAACCATGCATGTCACATTGAGTACCTTGGAGGAAAGGTAGGATATATATGTAATCAATCTAAGATGTGGGTGGACTTTAGGCTTACGGGATCTGTTTTGGTTTTTGCTGCCAGTATGCCAACTGGGGCTCAGTGCAAAATTGTGGCTCAGCTGAGTGAGTATTCTTGAATAAAAAAAAAAAAATTCCAGTAGCACCTTAGAGACTAAGTTTGTTATTGGTATGAGCTTTCGTGTGCATGCACACTTCTTCAGATACCGAAAGCTCATACCAATAACAAACTTAGTTGGCCTCTAAGGTGCTACTGGAAGGATGTTTTTTTATTTTGTTTCGACTACGGCAGACCAACATGGCTACCTACCTGTAACTATTCTTGAATAATTGAGGAACATGGTGCCCCTGGGCACATGCTGAAGCCAAGAATGCGTGATCAGAACTAGAGCCAAGCCTGCACAAAAATCCACTCCTTGTTTCCCCCCAAGCATTCTTTTCAGCAACCTGGGGACATTTTTAAAATGTTGCTGCTCTTAAGGCAGCTGGCCATCAGAAGGCCTTGCCAATCTACTGCAGTTTCCCAGAGACCTACCTTCTGCTCATCCCTAGACTAAAGCTGCACACACAGAAAAACTCCACACTTATCAACAACCAGCCAATATCATCCAGATTGTAAGGCCCCATCTGCGCCACACATTTACAGCAGTATCATAACCATTTTAAACAACCTTCCCCCTAAAGAATCTTGGGAAGTGTGCAGTAGTTTGTTAAGGGCGCCGAAAGCAATTGGGAGACCTCTGTTCCCCTCAGAGAGCTCCAATTCCCAGAGTTCCCTGGAAAGTGGGATTAGTTGTTGCAGCACAATTCTATGAAGGCTAGCAAGCTAAGATATTCAGGAGAGCTCACCCATACATGCCAGTCTCCCCTTGATGGTGCAAGAGTCTCTGTTCACCACAGGCCTGTTAGCTAGGGTTGTGCAGAAGCAAAAATAAAAAAATAGAAATCCAAGAAACTGGAATTATTCTCCACATCTGCCTTCTCCAATCTATTCTGCCCACCACACCCGTTTGGGATCTGTTTAGTATGATGCTGATATGGAGCAGGCATGACTGAGATCATGCAGGAGATCATCTCTGGATGGTTTTGACTCTGCATGAAGAGAAAGAAAGGGGAAATGCAAGATTCAATCATATGCTGACAGATTCAGGTTGCGCGATAATAGTTCATTGAGAGGTCTTCTGCAAACATACCCACGTCTGCCCAGAAACAGACCTTTCGCAATCAGGAAAGTGGTGGGGGAAAGCATGGCAAAGTGTGGGGTGGCACTTCCTTGATGCTATCCGAAAACAAAGCAGGATAATGTTCAATAAATAGCTGGTGTGGTCCAGCCTTCCCTTCCTGCAAAGAAATCAGGGCAAATACTCAAAGAGCGATGCTGCAGGAGAAACTGTGGACTTCTTCTGAAAATATTTCCTAGCCGCCAGGGGGTGCTGTGCACACACCATGAAACCTCTGGCTGCATTTTGCCATCATTCAAAGCATGAAAAGAGCACCAACCATGAATTGCAGCACTAGTGTAATGACAGCTGCTTTGCTCTGCTCTGTCCTGCTATAAAAAATCATTTGCATGCCAAAAACCATTTTCTCCTTTTGGCTCATAGAACTCAGAGAAAACCAATAGGTTGCCTCCTGGTCCAGTTCCCTGGGTTTCAGGCCACACTCATAATATGAATCCCCTCAACTTGAACCCTTTGAATGGATGAATTTTTCAATTTTGGTTTCTCATTTTTCCAGTGTTAAGTTTAGACCTTCGTGTTCCTTCATCAATTTGTGAGTAGTTTTGTTTTTTTAAGTCCTCATTAAAACCCACCAACATTTTAGTGCAATTTTCTCCTAATACGCCATTTTTCCTGACATGCACATTTTTGCAAACAATTTCCCACAATGTAAAGCTTTTAAATGTTATTTTCACTAATATATAGGCATTTTAATGTACATTTCCCCCTAATAGATGCACTTTTGTACACATTACTGGGTTGGATAACTGTTTTACAAAATTCAGAGAAGAAAAGCTGTGTTTCAGTTTGCAAACGGTTTCAGAAAATGCTAATTAAGGAGGGTCACATTAATTCAGAGCCAAACCAAATTTCTTCCCTTTTTTTACCCAAGAATTATTAATTAATTAAATTATTGCTTTTATTCTTAGATTTGTTAATCGCTTGCTACCACACGTTCTCCAAGTGACTTACAATACTGTTGAAAACACAAATATATTGATAATACCAGAAAACAAAGTGCGTGTGGGGAAACAAACTCCATAATCATCACAACAAGTTTTGGCAGCACAGAATAACAAGCAGTATCATCCTAAGTCTATCAAAAGCCTGGAGAAAAAAATGCAAGTATTTACCAGGTGCTGATAGAATGTAATTGAAGTCAGGCAGACCTCTCTGGGGAGAGCATTCCACAAATGAGGAGCTGTAACTGAAAAGGCCTTATCAACAGCCTCTGATTCTCCCTCGGACGTGGGACCCGGAGAAGGGCATGTGATGATCTAAGGGCCTGCATGGGTTTGTATCAGGAGAGGCATTCTAGAAAATATTGGTGTCCCATGCAATGAGTAGCTTTAAATCTCAAAACAAGCACTTTGAATTGGGCTCAGAAGAGGCAGCCAGTATAGCTGGAACAGAGAATTGATGTTATATTATCTGTTCATCTGAAACCTGTCAACAGGCAACCACATTTTGCATGAGCTTCCAAGCTTGTTTTTCTATCACATTCACATTCTGTCACATTGACCAACCAAATGCATGGCATTCCCAAATATGATCACCAGGTGGTGGTGTTTGCACATATACACACCCACCCACCTACCCACCCCTGGCTTTCCTTGGAAACTTGCCAGTGATGGTGGGGCTCTCAATATATAAGCACCCCACATGAACGATGCATTCTGGGATATATCCCAGAATCCTCTGCTGTGCACAGTGGTTCTGTGGCAAATGCAAGAGACTGCTCCTCAGTGGATAAAGCCAATGTGAGAATATTTCTCTGAGGATAGAAAGTGTCTAAAACTAACAGTACAGAATGTTAATTCAGAAATTTAAACTCTCACACAATAGGCATTTTCATCTATTTTTCATAGCCCAGCTGTAAAATCCTACACACACATACATATACAAATATACGTACACACACACACACACACACACACACACACACATATCTCTGAGTGCTCACTGGAAGGACAGATCCTGAAGCTGAGACTCCAATACTTTGGCCACCTCATGAGAAGAGGCACCAAAAATGGGCACCTGGGTGGCCGCTGTTAGAGCAGGATGCTGGACAAGGTGGGCCGCTGGCCTGATCCAGGTGGCACAGCCCAGAATTATTAGGCCTTATTCCTGCTGGCTAAGTGAAGAAGACATCTAAAGGGGGGTCCACAGGTTTATGAGAGAAGGGTCGCATGGTTTGAGGAAGAAGAAGGCTGGATTTATTATGGAAACGGGTTCTCTTATTGCATTGCTTTCAGCTTTTAAAAATCGTGACCAATTTTAAAAACCAGAATATTGTGTGCCGTTGTTTTGAACATACAGTGCCTACAGTTTTATGGAATTTAGGAGCTTTTTGTTGTTGTTGCAAAGGGAGGAACCCCCATTTGTTTTCCTCGTGTAAGACCAGGCGTTTTCACCTTCCTCAAAGACAACTTTCACCAGCCATGGTGCTCTCCAGATGAGCACCAGGCTAGGCCTGATGATCTCTACCTGACCTTGAAGCTCAATGGGTGACCTTGCATCACTCACCGGCTCTCAGCCTGTAACCTACCTCACAGGGTTGCTGTGAGGAGCCAGAGAATCGTGCATGCCACGTTGAGCTCCTTGGAAGAAAAGGTGGGGTATAAATACGGTAAATTAATTAATGGGACATGTAGCCCAAGACCTCTGGAGGACCTCTGGAGGTATCTGCCTTAAGATATCTGAGCAAATAACAGAAAGTCTGACTCCTTGGACTTGCTGAGTGCCGAAGTTTGGAGCGTTGGGTCCCAGCACCTGTCAGTTGCTCAACATTCCATTCCATTTTGGAATTCCTGGTCGTTTTTCTTTTCTTTCTCAGAACCCTGTTTCGACTTGTTAGGATGGAAACCCAATCGCTGCAGGCTATGTGCACAGCTGACCCAACCTCCTCAGGGTTACTTTGGGTTGTTGCCACATCGCTTAGAAGGCTTGAACCAAGCAAGACCCAGAGAGGAAAATTACACTATTATTCACATGTGTATATATTCAAGCAATCCTGGACTTTGCCCCTGAGACAAAGCAGGATGTTGAGGTAGGCAGGTGCCACGCGACAGCTATGGCCCAGACTTGTGAGATGCAGATTATAGCCCGGTAAACGAAAAGGCCTCTCATTTCCAGACCTTGCTTGCAACATGCAGTTCAACTCTGAAGCAACAGCTAGAGGCTGGGTTCAGCCCGCTGTTAAGAAAACAAGAGGAGCAGTCCTTTTGGATCGAATCAAAGATAGTTCGGCATTCTGCTTCCAGTTGTAGAAACCAGACTTCCCTCCCCACTTTTAATTCTTCTTAATTAGCTGTGTTTATATTCTGCCCTTCCTGAAATATGCCCTCAGACCTGGTACAGGGAGAGCGCCTTAGAGCATGTACAGAGTGCATCTCTCACCACCCCCAGAACAGCAACCTTTTAAGGAACTGAATCCTGGAAGTTTGCTCACCAGTGCTTCATTTGTGATCCTGAAAAAACAACACATTTT